AGAGTTAGTATGCCTGAGGAGGTGCCAGTCTCTATTGTGTCAGACCGTGACACTAGGTGCTTGTGCAACAAAGTGGTTCACTTAGTAAAAGTCTCATGGTATACCCATTGTGATGAAGAGGCAACTGGGATGGTGAAGAGATATGAGAAATGTCTATCCCAAGTTCTTCCGAGAGATATCAACTTTCGAGGACGAAAGTTTTTAAGGAGGGGAGAATTTGTAATACCCGAGCCTCAATTGAAAGTTTAAAATCTAAGTTTACCTTAAAAGTCGATCTCTCTCAATTTTATTGAAGGTCTTAAAGACCAAAATCCGAGATGAGACGGAAGAGAAAAATGATGAGGAATAAAAGAACGGAAGAAAAATATAAAGGAAAAATGATAGAAAACTAAAAGGATGGTCCAGGTAAATCCCTGGAGGGTAATTTGGTCATTATACCTCCTTTTTAGTAACATACGAATAAAAGAGAAAAAGGAAAAAAATAAAGGGGAAAAGGAAGAGAAGGAGAAAGTGCGGAAAGAAAAGAATGTAAATAGTGAGAGAGAAAATTATAGAGAGAGAAGGAAAGTTCTAGAGAGAGAGGGAGGTAACCGCCGCTCCGGCCACGAGGAGTCCGGTTCCGGTCGAGCCTTCATGAAATCTTCACAGAACTTAGAGAAGAACATTCTTAACTTTTAGATCGTCCAAAACCATCCAGAAACGAGGAAAAATCTAAAGGTAAAGTTCTTGAATCCAGATTCTCGAAATTGCTTTAGATCTGTTAGATACAGTAAGAGTTAGAGCCTGAAATTTGAGTATGTTAATCTACAGAGGATTACGCTCAAAATCTGTGAAGAAATTTGGCCGAGACCTCAACCCAAAGGCGGAGATCCGAGGGTCATCCGAGAACGGTGAGCGAACTTCCGGCGTTCTTAAATCCTCCATGGTCAAGAAAAAAATTATAAAAAGGATACTAGGAATCATATTGATCCGATCTACGGATCGAAAGATATGAAAATCGGAAAAAACAAAACCGACTGGGTTTCGGTTTTCAGAGGACAGAGAAGAAGAAGAGGAGGAAAAAAAAAAAAAAAAAAAAAAAAAAAAAAAAAAAAAAAAAAAAAAAAAAAAAAAAAA